CACATTTCTATTCTGTTTATGCTGTGTAACCCAGCCATATTGAAGTTTGCTATAAATCTCTTACTGGTTTATTTCAATCCGTGTGTTAATTCACTTTCTGGTGGTGATTTATTTAAGTTAAGAGTGTCCTGTGGTGTCAGCAAGGGTTGGGCTTTCAGAGTCGGGTCCAGATCCACAGGGAACCCAAAAACAATTCAGCAACTCCAAAGGGGGTAGTACTACATTTGCGAAAACTGAGAGAGGGGTCTGGGTTGGACTAAAAAGAAAAATAAATATGCTTTTTAAAACTGCGGTGGGGTTGAAATAGTAAAAATTCCCTCTTTGCTACATTGTTACATATGTAGCACTATCCCCTTGAGAGCTGCTGGTTTTGGGTCCCCCTTATTTCCTGCACTGCCAGGCAACATGCATTTTCCAGCTTCCATTCAGAGTCAGCAAACCGGCCATGGACTTGTTTTTCTTGTATTATTTTGATAAATCTAAAAGGATGCATACTGGACTTTCACTCCCTCCAGAGCTGCATCAGTCTTTTGACAGATCAATCTCTGAAAAGGAGCACTTGGTCCTCTCTTTATATGACCCTCTTCAGACCCCAGTTAGAATCTGCCCATCCACCTGGCTGTCTTGAAGTGTATCCCAGAGCAAGATATTCTAGAACAGACTTGCAGCACTGTCCCAGAGAGAACTGGTTGGGTATGGCACCTAGCATCCCTCTCTCTTGTAGGCTCCAGGGGGGTGTAGAGGTACATACACTGTCCTTGTGTCCCTTAGCTTTTAGTAAACTGCTTTCAGGCTTTTCACTGGGCTGGTGTCCTTCCAGGCTAACAGGCTGTACTTCTTCAGTGGACTGTAGGGCAGTGGATCTCCCTCTCTCAACTTCCTTCTTGCATTCTTCCAACCTCCAGCCTGGAGGCAGAACCCCCCTTCTCTGGGGTCCCCTCCCAGGCTACAAAGCAGCACACCTCAGCACTCCATCTTCCACCTGACTCCCCTGCTGGCTAGGCTCTCTCATATTTATGGACTGACTAGGCCACCTTGCAGGCCTCCTGCCCGGGGATTGGCCAGATTCCTATAAATATGCAGATCAGCACCTTCTGGCCTCCACCCACTAGCTTCTAGAAACTTTTCCAAGCTTCCAGAACCAGGGAGAGGTACCAGATGCCTGACCTGTAGAGCCCTCCAGCTAGACCTAGAATAAACTCACTGACTCATACCCAGACTTATAACAAGCCTCTAACTACACTACGAGCTATGTACACCAAAGGGTGCTACACATATATTGCAAGGATTAGTTTCTTGGCCCCGTTCCCACTTTGTCTAGTAGGAACTTGTGTTTTGGGACTTTGTGTTGGTGATTTTCACATGATTCCGCATGTTGCACATAGGGCATCTCGAATATGCTGCCCTGTGCGCATTTGTTGTGGCAAAGAAGCTCATATTCTTTGGGGCTAAATCACACTGTAAATTGCACCAATGTAGAAAAGGAACTTTTTCCAAAATCGTACTGTCACATTAATGTAAATGGGCACCATTAAAAATAATCTGATTTCCCTTGTCATGCGATTCTATGCAACTCAAGTCACATTTGAGATATCACTAGTATTAACATGGCCTTAGCAACCTACATGCTTCCGTCCAGGGGCGGACTGACCATTTGGAAACTCGGGCACTGGCCGAGGGCCCGGGGTCAGTAGGGGGCCCCATGAGATGTCCCTGTTACCTTTTTCATAGGCTTTTTTGAGTTTGGACAAGGACAAAGGGGCCTCATGATCCCCTATTGCCCGGGGCCCCATGAGTTGTCAGTCCGCCCCTGCTTCCGTCCTGATACTATTACAAAATTTTCTTACTGTGGGTTTCTAAAAATGTTCAGAAACTAAATTAGGAGATGTTAATCAAATAGGTCATCATCCTTTAGTTCTGCAGAAACTATTGCCAAATACAAGACTTATATATCTGTTTTAGTCCTCCTGCACACTGGATGTTTTTGCAGCTGCTGTTTTTTGGCTTTTTTGACGTTTTTTTTCTATAGCCAGTAAACCCCCCAGCATGTTATCCTATGTGTCCATGCACACAGAGACTGTAATCAATGTTTTTTGGCTGGGACGTTTTTTGGCTGGAAAAACAACCCAGGACTAGTGGGCTTCTAGAGGAGTTTTCTAGCTGTAAAAATGTTCTAACGCTGAAAAACACAGTAAAACGTGGTAAATCGTGGCAAACCACCGTTTTTGGACCTTTTTTGACCAAAAAAAAAAACTTTTTTTTTTTTTTTGGTAAAAAAAAGCTAAAAAATGCAAATGCGAAAAAACACAGCAAAACACCGCTAAACACTAAGACAAAAACGCTAAAAACTCACGTTTTTAACGTGACTTTACAAAGTTAACGTTACCAGCATTATTAAAACGCCCGGTGTGCATGGAGCCTAACATCCAAACTGTCTCCTTTTTGGAAGTAATGCCCTTGTTTAGGAACTCAATCTCTTTGTGCCTCTTTCCTCCTGCTCGTTCCTCTTGACCTCTGTACTAATTCACAGCGAAACATGTTTATGTTGTAGTAAACCTTTCATCCAATTCTACGGTAATTCGATTGGTATTTCCATATGCTAGTACTGAGGAGGAGTATTGGTGCAGATAAGCATGTAATATTGTTCATTTCTTGGTGTCCCTTGGTGTCCCTCATTACCTGTGTTGTAGGTATGTGCATCCGATATAATTTAGTATAGTGTAAATAAAAAAATAGTGCTTGACGTAAGTTTAAAGTGGTTGTAAACCCTTACAGATACCCAATGAAGCGACTGGCCTCAGGTGATACACAGAGATGAAACAAATCCTAATACAATAGTTGTACCTATTTATCTGAAGTATTCTCTTCTCTACATCCATTCAAATTGCAGAATTTATAATGCTTGTCTGATCAGTCAGAAAAAAGGGGGTGGAGAGCTGAAATTACACACTGCAAAGTTCAGCGAGGAGAGCTTTGAGAGCTGATTGGAGAGAAAAGACACACCTCCTTTCACACAGCTCACAGGCACAGAGCTGAGGCTGTCAATCAGCTGGAGCTCCATCCCCGTCACCATTTTTCTCTTGGTGGCAGGACTTGTCAGAAATGATTCATGCTGATAGTAAAGGAATGAGACAGAAGACAGAAATGACACTGAGCCCTGGTTCACACTGATGCGGTGTGGAATTTGCAGCGTTTTCTGTGTGAATTCCGCACCGCATCACAATCGCACCCCATTCATGCGAACCGCTGCGGTTAACAACAAGTTAACAACACCCCAACATCGGTCTGCAAAGCGCGGTGTGATGTGCAGAATCTGATCGCATAGGTGTGAATACCCATGCGATCTGATTCTAGTGTGGACCAAAAAAAGGTCCTGCACCTTTTTGATGCGGGTGTGGTGCAGTTAGAGGCATACATAATGTATGGCTCCAATCGCACCGCACACAAATCGCATGTGATTTGCACAGGAATGCCACGGTTCTTGTGCGAATCACATGCGATATAACGCACTGCCAATGTGTGAACCCAGCCTTAGTGCTATGTATTGAGACAAGTACACACTGTAGAGGGATATGCTTTGTTCATATTTCATTACCACCACTTTAATTCTCTTTACTGTGTGAAGTATACAACAAACCAGTTTCTCTCAATGATGGCTTATCTGTCTTGCCGGAGAATAGGTGAAGATAGCTGTGATAAGGGCACATTTATTACAACACAAAACCTGCACACAGCACTTTCAACCCCCTCAATGGCCCAGAGCCCCTGGAGCGCGATTTGAATATCTCTAACAAATAAAAACTGTTTAATGGACTACTATGGACCAACCAGTTGTCCGTTAATCAGGGTTTTAGCCACTAGAGATATATAAGCCCCGATTCACATATATGCGAATCGGATGTGTTTTGAACACATCCGATTCGCATGACATGTGAGCCTGCAGCCTTTTCGGTGAAGCCGGTTCACATATGTGCAGCGTGTTTTCAGAAAGAGTAGAGTGTGATTTTTAGCCTGGTTCAGGTGCAATTTCCATTGTGTACACTTTGACAATTCGCACCTGAATCCTACCTGAACCTCTGAACAAAGTCACACTAGAGGGGACTGAAATCACGATGTGAAAACCGGCCCACATATACATGAGCCAGGGCTAAAGGCCTATTTATATTCTTGTGATTTAAAACAATTGTTACCAGCAAGAACTTCAGTGTCATCATCAAATGAGACCTTTTAATGTCTGCTTGACTTATAAACCCCCCTTCCCCCTTATTTAAAAATGTAGAGTTAAAGGATATCTAAACCCAAAAACAAAAACATTAAAGCATTGCAGTTCTTTGATGGATTTGCTGCATTAGTTTTATTTTCCTAAAATCTGTTTTAGTCATACTTCTCTTCTGGGTCACAGGAGGGCACTTATTTCTGCTCTCTTGTGACCCAGATTTAGCTGATGTCACAGAGCCAGTCCCAGGCTCTGGAAGGATCCCGACTTTAAGGTCAGGATCCACCCAGATGCCTGACAGGGAGCTGGCTCAGGCTCCCAGTTCTCCGCTGATAGCCTAAGCCAGCCACTTCTTGCCTGAGGGGCAAATCAGAGAGTGGTGACTGACAGTCACCATTCTCTGCTCAGTGAAGACAGAGAACTGAGTGATCAGCAGTCATATGATCGCTTAGCTCTTGGACTCAGAGCTGGCGGGGGAAAGCTGCAGCATCAGACCAATGCTGCAGCCATATACAGTAGGTGAGTATGTACTGTATGTATGTTTTTTATTTCCTGCACTTCTTTAAATTTTTTTTCCTTTATTGTCACCTGGTGATCCTGTCACACTGCTTGTTCCAGGGTGACAACACTCACTGCATTGTATCTATGAAAGAGCAGCATTGTCGCCTTAGGCTGTCTTTCTGATTTGAACTACAAACACCTCCTCCTCTCTTCAACTTTATTAAATAGAGGGAAGATTTGCAGTTTACACAGAAAAGTATGCTTAGCCTAAAAATGTAAAAATAAGATCTAAGGACTGGTAAGCTGCACTGTATTAATTGTTGTAATTGTTGTTCTTGGATTTAGATACATTTTAATTAACAAAAAACATTAGAAGAAAAATGTATATATACCACGATACGGGAAGTAAACATCGGGTGCAGGGGCGGACTGACCATTTGGAGACTCGGGCACTGCCCGAGGGCCCGGGGTCAGTAGGGGGCCCCATGAGATGCCCCTGGTACCTTTTTCATAGGCTTTTTTGAGTTTGGGCAAGGACACAGGGGCCCCATGATCCCCTATTGCCTGGGGGCCCCATGAGTTGTCAGTCTGTCCCTGATCAGGTGCATCCAGTATTAAGAGTGAAATCAAGAGTTTGGTTGTTCATTGTATGAACTTTCCTCAACCTTAAAGTGTTACTAAACCCAGGACCCTGCATTCACTATATCTGGTCTCCCACAGTACACACAACATGGAAATGTAATTATTTTAGTAAATAAAAACTGCTATATACAGTACCTTTTCTCATCAACAGTTAGAACATTCTTGTGACTTCTATCAGTGTCCAGCAGAGCACAAGTTAAAGCTTGTAGGAGGGGTTTTCATTCTCCCCTGATTGTCCTATGAGACTGCATAACCCCTTACCCTCTGTCTGGACAGTGTTGATTGGCTCTGTGCTGATCACATGCACTCTCCCAAGAAAAAAAAACTCTCTAGCAATACACACTAATCTGAGCATGTGCATGTGACTACGGGTTCAGCCTGTCTTATCAGGTGGAAATTTGAACAAGAAGAGGGTCAGAGAAAACAGGACCAAATAGTCTTTTTAGACAATGCAGAGAATTAACCCCACAGTGAGTATAACAAGCATGCTTTACTGCATATACAGACTGATTTTACTGTTGTGGATTTAGTAACACTTTAACTACAGTTGTTTTTATAAATCTGAGCTTGAGCTATTGAGCTTTGGAAACAACAGACTAAACAACACAGCAGCTAAGAATGGACAGGTAAACAGCATCACCAGATATCTGTATACATAAATATAAAATATTACTATGCAATATTTCATATTTATCTAGGGAAAAATATATGTATTTAATTTTGTGCATGACACTCTGATTCCTCTGGTTTTGAACTGTATTGTAATTGGATTGTCCTGTATTCCTTCATTTTGTAAAGCACTGTGTAAAACTGCTGGCACTATATAAATCCTGTATAATAATAATAACTAAAGCACTGTATTAAGTTGAAAAAAGTCCATCAATTTAAATGAGAGACAAAATAAAGGAAATATAGAAAACAATACTCCCTTTTTTAATGGCATTTGGCACTTGGAGGTCAAAAAGGTCAGGTCAGAGTTTGAACTTTTACGCTCTGTTTGAAATCTGCATAATAAAGCAGTCCGGGTTTTTAAGCCCCTCCATGGCATTCTGAAAATTTACAAAACTGGCTTGTAAGGGTCTCCGGGGTCCAGTTTACCAAGAGACCACAGGTACCCTTTATGTAGCAATTATATTTACTGTATATATCATATTAACGTTTTAACAAAAGAGAGATTTTCCATATTTTAGGATTATAATACATTTTTCAGTATTACACTCCTAGAAAATATCTAAAGGCACAGAGTGTAGGGCATTCACCACCTCCATATAAATAGTTTCCCTAAATATGAAATTATGGACAAAATAAAAATAATTCATTTAGGCCTCATGTACACTGAGTGTTTGCTCAGCTCCCCTAAATGCCTTTACTCCTGGAAGGAGAAAAGCTGCTTCAAAAATTTGGTAAAAGTCACACTTTGAATATATGTTTATGCGCGTTCTCATGCGTTCATGTGCGTTTGTGTATTTGGCGTTATTGTAATCTCTTGGCCATATTAAAATATTAATGTATTCTGGCTATAAGAACTAATTAATGTGCAAAGGAGGCTCCTTCTGCTGTCAATTATAGCCAGTAAAGAAGGAGTGGGGATGGGGCTGAGCCACGGTCTGTATGTTAGTGGACACACAGAGCATGGCTCAGGAGCGAGCCTGGATGAGTGCCCCCAATTGCAAGTGACTTGCTAAGGGGGCACTTGGCAGGGGGAAGGAGCTAGGAGCGCCGGTGGGGGACCCTAGAAGAAGAGGATCTGGGCTGATCTGTGCAAAACCATTGTATTCTATTGGCCATAATGCAATATTAATTTATTCAGGCTATAAGAATTAATTAACGTGCAAATGAGGCTCCTCCTGCTGTCAATTATAGCCAGTAAAGAAGGAGTGGGGATGGGGCTGAGCCACGGTCTGTATGTCAGTGGACACACAGAGCGTGGCTCAGGAGCGAGCCTGCATGAGTGCCCGCAATTGCAAGTGACTTGCTAAGGGGGCACTTGGCAGGGGGAAGGAGCTAGGAGCGCCAGTGGGGGACCCTAGAAGAGGAGGATCTGGGCTGATCTGTGCAAAACCATTGTATTTTATTTGCCATAATGCAATATTAATTTATTCAGGCTATAAGAATTAATTAACGTGCAAATGTGGCTCCTGCTGCTGTCAATTACAGCCAGTAAAGAAGGAGTGGGGCTGGGCTGAGCCACACTCTGTATGTCAGTGGACATACAGAGCGTGGCTCAGGAGTGAGCCTGCACGAGTGCCCCCATTGCAAGTGACTTGCTAAGGGGGCACTTGGCAGGGGGAAAGAGCTAGGAGCGCTGGTGGGGGACCCAAGAAGAGGAGGATCTGGGCTGTTCTGTGCAAAACCATTGTACAGAGCAGGTAAGTATAATATGTTTGTTATTTGGTGATTTTTTTTCCTCCTAGCACTGATTTGTTACTAGTCTATTTATTTTATTAAGTAGAACCAATTTTAAAAACAGAAGCAATGTGCCTCACAAGATATCTAGTTGAACTAACCAACTCCAGCAGAGAGTAACATGTGTATGAATTGTGTTTGATCTTCTCTACATGCTTTTGTTCTGGCTATTACTGCCTCCAGAGATAAAATAACAATGACAATTACAAGGAAACAGATGAAAATTGTCATACCAAGGGAATTCAGAGGTGGCGAATATCTGAAATTCTGATAACACGTCTAGACATCTTGCAGCCAGGCCAATAAATTGCTAGCAGACTATGAAATGCCTTTTATCGTTTTGCAATAAGTATTTTATGCAGTGGAGAAATCCGAAGCTTTGTCCAAATTGGTTACACCGTATCACTGACACATTCTTTCCCAGAAGTCTGCAGAGCATTTACTTAATGCCAAACGTTCAGTGCATCAACATGGCTCGCCTTACATTCTGTGAGCAGCTGAAATGGTAATTGGAACACGGCCAACCGCTGACCGCTATTATGAAATATGTTATTCAGACCGAAAACAAAACTTTTGGGGAGTTTAGCACTTCGTTCATTTATTCTGATGACTGTGTATGGGCATTGGGGTTAATTTAATAAAGGAGTAGCACATGTTCAAATTACAGATTGAATTTTTCTGCTTAGTAAATGAGATGAAGCTAAGTGAAAATTTATTTTGCAATGAATACTCAATAGTATGAAAGGAAAACAAAAGAAAAAAAAATGTTTGCTTGCACATGATTGGATAATGTATCTGAGCACCACAAACTTGAAACACTATTTAATTCATTTGTCATATTTAAAGCAAATTCCCCCATCCATTCATGTCTCCATGCTTTATTTTGTTGAGAAATCACTTTGAAAACACCCCCTAGCATTTCTAGAAGTGGCCATCTTGAGTAAGGGCAGATGATTTTAGTAGCAATTACTTCCTATGATCCACCTGTCCTTAGCTCAGACATGCATGCAGGAGGGTGTGCTTAGCTGTGAAAGCCTTTCCTCCCCATGAAAAAAAGCCCTTAAATGCTCCTGGGATGTATGACATCTTTTGGCCTAGTCTAGAATTTAGAAAAGCAAAAAAAAAAAGTTTAAAACAAGTAAATATAATATAACTTCCTATATATTTACTAATGTTAGCAGCATATGGATTAAATATAGTTAATGTTTACTGAGAAAGTTTAATTCTGCTTTAAACGCAACAATGCTTCACCTCATTCACTAAGTGGGTTTTTCCCCTTTGCAAAATGAATTTTCTTTTAGCTGAGTGAATAGGCGATCTGTGCTAACTTCAATCATCTAATGATGTGTAAGCAAAATTTCATTTTTTAAATTTTGCTTGCATATTATTATTATTATACAGGATTTATATAGCACCAACAGTTTGTGCAGCACTTTACAACATGAAGGTAGACATTCAGTTACAATTCAATTTGGTACAAGAGGATACAGAGGGCCCTGCCCATTAGAGATTGCAATCTAGGATGATTGGGTATTCTTTGCAAAGCAAATTTTCACTTACAGCTCATTCACAAAAACCCCTACCTGTGATGTGGAGCTTGGCGGTGTGGGGTCCCCCTTGGATCGATGGAGGGAAACCCTGTGGGAGAGCTGATCTCTGAGAAGGGATTCGGCTCCGGTGCTCGGGGTGAAGGTGTGTCGGGCAGATAAGGTGGAGCGGTGCAGTCACGTGGCCGGCCGCTAAGCACCACTGGAAAACCAGGAAGCCGGCCGGTGTTTTTGATGCAGAGAGAGAGGAGCTGATCGGCTTGTGAATTTTCCCCTGGAGCACGGCTGCCGACCTAATACCTGGTCCCTTGTTTTAGCACCCGATAGTCTGGTGCTCTGCTGGTAGGCTCACTGCGCGGAAGCTCTGCATCCTAGCCCAGTGCTCAGAACCCTGTCAGCCGGGTATCTGCCCGGAAGCTCTGACTGCCGACTTGCTGGCTGAGACCTTAATTGTTGCAGGACTGCTGGGGGTCGTGCTGGTCGGTCCGTGTTTGTTGGGGCCCTGTTGGTTGGACCCATTGCCTGAGTCCTGCTTCTGAAAGGAGGAGAGACACGGGGCCATTGGAGAGAGAAAGGAGGAGGATTAATGCTGGAGGAACCCCTGAAACGGACACACTGCCCAGCCGAAGGACGGAGAGAAATGCTGGTCGGGCCCCGAGAAGAAGAGAGATTACGACTGCAGGTGATGACTCTGACCGAGTCTCAATAAAAGTACATGCTTCTTGTGGGCTGTTGGGAGAGGCAGTGTGTGAGAGAAGAGGTATCCCCTTGAGTGGGAATTATAAAGCAGCTGAAAAGGAAAGAGAGGAAAGACGAATGATAAGCTTGAAAACCAAATGAAAGGATAAGTTGTGCTGTATATATTATTAGTTATCTCTCCTTAACCCCTGAGCTTATAAAGAAGAAAAAGAGCAATAGAAAGATGTGAAAAATAAAAAGCGCAAAAGGAAGTGGGCTAAAAGGGACTCAGACTGGTACTATT